AATTCGTATCGATGCCGCTATCATAATGAAAACAAACGAATGGAAATCATCCATAGGATCTCTTTTTTCTTCTGCAAGCGCACAGTAATACGCTTTCGTAATCAATCTTAATATCATCAATATCCGGTTGCCTAAAATTATTTTGTCTATTTTTATTTCATATTGGGTTGGGCTGCTGTCGGAGGCTGCTTTTCCGCCATAAAAACACTCTTCTCTTTTTTTGACTTCTTTCTGACATTTTTTTTTTTTCATTTCTTGAAAGCACTTGTCACTTACAACGATTCAAAGACATTGTGAGTTTTATTTACTCAATTAAATCGGTAAACTTTCTTGCTAAAGTAAACAAGTGCCCTTCATATCATTTAAAAGGTAAAAAAAAAGTTTCAATCTTAACAACATTTGCTCATAGCTGCTAAGTGAAAAACAACGTTAGTGAGAAGAGTGCACTTTAAAAGTTTACATTTTCTTCTTTTTACGATTTGCATTTGTGTAGTGTTTTGCTTGCCATTCTAGATAAGTTTATATAATTTCGTTAAGTAGCGTATCTGTTAAACACATCGTAAATTATTGATAAATATATATATATTTTCAACTTTTACTTTTTTTTCATCGCAAAGTTATGGAAGGAAGAATTTTAGGTCGAATTATAAGAATATTCAAAAATGAACTCAAGTGAAACATAAGCACCACTAATTGCTACTTGGGAAGATTATGTGCTAACTGTTACGACTTTACGAATATCTACATGGCTAAACTGATTTCGATAGCTGATCGATGAAGGGATGTCGTCAGTTTATTTGCACATATGCTGGGTATGAAAAATAAAAATATTAAAAAAAAAGACTAACAAGAAAAAGAAATTATATTCGACTGCGAGCAAATCTTTCATGCCGGTTGCCTTTAGCGCAGAGAAGATTGTAGAAAAAAGCAGAAAGCAAAAATTCTAACATTCTACAATATTGGGTGGGCGTGTCTAATGATTTGTGTTTTCTCACATGTATGTTACACATCATCGAATATATTTGCAAATTTTTATAGCACTGAACACTCAAACGATCAAACGGTTGCAACGCCCAGAAGGAATCTTCGGAGATCTCGCAGTGTATATTTTCTTGATCAGCAATCAAATTCTGAATCGATTTAAGTGTGTCTGTCCATACATCTACGTAATGTCTGTTATAAACATTGCCCTGGTCGAATTCCAATTTGGCAGAAACACCTTGACGCTTGATACGCGAAGGATACAACAGTGCCACGTAAACGGAGAACACCTGTGTTTATCAAAAGGAATAAAAATTCGTTTCTTTGCCTGTTACTCTTAATCTGCAGCAGATACATCGTCAAAAGTTTGAACGTGGGTTCTGTGAGCGACAATACAGTGTCGGCCACACCCATCCAACACTATGGAGCATGCAAATTTATATTATTCCTTTTTTTCAATCTTCCATACGATATAACAGGGATGGGTATAATAGATTCACTTACCACGGAATATAATTTTTTCTACTCGTTCATGTTACAAACCGGTCTACTGAAACGATGATAACATAGAAGAGAATAGCAAACCAAAACAACTTTTTGATTATTGGCAAGTATTGCGGTCGCGATGATATTGCGAATTTTTGCTGGATGAGACATTCTTCTTAATATGCAAAGAATAATAAAAAGCATTGATACACAGATTAACATACATTAACATATGTGTTATTCTCTTATATTTTATTGGAGATTCATAGCGAATGAAAAAGTCAAACTATCGAAGACTGTGTAGAAAAAATTAGTTGATTAACGAAGCGGAAATGTAGCCACCATTTCAGTTAGTGAAGCAGCGTCCCAGGGGGAAGTTTGTGTTTTTTCAGCTAACAACACGAATCGTATGCTTATATTGTTACAGTTATTCCGACTAGTGTTTTTAAATTCTATTTATGCTTTTGTGAAATATTCCGGTTAAATTCAGAAATAAATATTATCGGATATTGTATATAAAACCCTAGGGGAACTGTTTGCCATTCTTGTCATCGAGGTAGCTCGAATGTAGTTCACAATTTCGGCTCGGACTGATAGTCTTTAACCCAAAAAGCGATCGTATAGTTTTTGCATTTCGTCAAGGGAACTAGGATTCGATAATGGGAACCATGCAGGTGCAAGCATTTTTCATGCAACGATTTTTTTGCAAATAGAATTTTTCCTCAGCCTTATAGTCTAAAAAAACAGATGATAATGGAACTTTTAAAACAGTAGCGTGAAAACTATCTTTTACTTACAAATATTTGTACAACACCAATTAACTCATTAATTACATATATACTCGTATTAATTAATTAACCCACTAATCACACATACACTCGCACATAATAAACTACCGATTCATTTTGTTGATTTTAATTCGGAACTGTGTGTGTGTGTGTGTGTGTGTGTATATATATGATCATAGAATGCTAACTTTCACTTTTGGTGCTTTGAGCGTTGTTCTCTATGGTTTTATGGATTATTTTAAATAGAATTAAATGTTTTTATTATTCGTAATAACAAGTCAAAAAAAAAAAAAAAAAAAAAAAAAAAACAAGAGAAAAAATTCATATAAATAAATAAATAAACAAAAAACCTCAAGGGAATGGCTTCGGTGTATACATATTTAATTCAAAACATGTACGTAGTTATCATTTTAAAACGTACGTCTTTTTGCTTAACCATTAACGCTTAACCTCATTAAAATAATTAAGTAGTTATGCTAAATATTTATAAGTTCCCTAATTTGTTATTATTGCACTTAATGTCGAGGGATGTGTTCGTAATACTCAATAATACGCGTCGAAAAATGTATGACGTTTCCAGCGATTGATTTCAGCTCAGTGTGAAATACTTTGACATTTTTGTTGTATTACCTTGAGGAGTTCGATATCAAGAAATACACTTCGAAGCGTATACACAGCTTTCGTACTTGGTTTCGATAAGAGCCGAATATTTTATAAAGAAACATTTATACAAACACAAAATTTAACCTTAAAATCTTGTACGTAAACCTTGAACTTGAACGGCAATATTTTTCGTATATATTTATGAGATGTAAATCATTCGTGCAATGGCTCACTCAAGTGTTTTCTTCAAAGCAAGTTTATTGTATTTGCCTATACACGCGGCGACGACGGCTTTCCAAAATGTATTAAAAACGATAAAATGTTTCTATAAAAATACATTTATGTATGCACACAAACATGTGCGTCTTTTCCACTGGAATTTCGTAACAAAGAAGAGACAAAAGGTATCTTGATAAAAAGAAATAAGAAAACTTTATCCGTTTTTTGTCGAATCTCGACTAACCTTCACTTAATGTGAACAACCGAAAAGTAATCGTTCATTTGCTAGCTATCATCCTAACAGTTTTACACAATGGGAGTCACCACACAACTTAATCTAACTGTGTAAGTCTATACCTTTTATAGTGTATAAATTATCAAGGACAACTTCGCAAATTATTGAACTGTGTTTTGATGTATAGGAGGAGCCCTTGCTTTGGGGGGTGGAGAAACGGAGTAGTGTTTGTGAACGTTCAACTTAAAAATGGAGTTAGTGGAGATAGAGTAAGGAGTACGGTAGGAAAGATCTCTCTTGTTAGGTTGTTCCAAAACAAGGTCAATTTGACCCACGGAGGTCTAGTGTTAACCTGTCAAGT